GGAGGAGGAGGAGGAGGAGGAGGAGGAGGAGGAGGAGGAGGAGGAGGAGGGGGAGAGAACATCACGAGGAGGAGGACGAGCAAGACGAGGAGGACGAGAACGAGGGCGACCAGGAAGAGGAGGAGGAGGAGGAGGAGGGGAGGGGGAGGACTACCAGGAGGAGGAGGAGGAGGAGGAGGAGGAGGAGGAAGAGGAGGAGGAGGACGAGGAGGAGGAGGAGGAGGACGAGGAGGAGGAGGGGGGGGAGAGCACCAGGAGGAGGAGAACGAGGACCACCAGGAGGAGGAGGAGGAGGAGGAGGAGGAGGAGGAGGAGGAGGAGGAGAGAGCACCAGGAGGAGGAGGACGAGCAAGACGAGGAGGACGAGAACGAGGACGAGCAGGAGGAAGAGGAGGAGGAGGAGGAGGAGGAGCAGGAGAGAGGAGGAGGAGGAGGAGGAGGAGGAGGAGGAGGAGGAGCAGGAGAAAGAGGACGAGCAGGAAGAGCACGAGGACGAGCAGGAGGAGGAGGAGGAGGACGAGCAGGAGGGGAGGGCGGCCGGCTGCCCCGGCCGGCTGCCCCGGCCGGCTGCCCCGACCGGCTCGACCCAGAGATGCTCCTACACATGGCTGTTAGGTTGCTTTGCCGGGATAATTATCTTTTGTTCTGTTCCCACCTCCCCATACGAGCGCCGAGCAACAAAAAGCCTCCGGTCTCCTCTCTCCTCTCGCTGTCGCTGCTGACGTGGCAGCCGCTGCTGCCTCTGCCGCCGTGGCAGCCGGTACTGCCGCTGCCGCTGCCGCTGCCGCTGCCGCTGCCGCAGCCGCTGCTGCTGAAGATGTCGCTGCTGCTGCTGCTGCTGCCGCTGCGGCTGCTGCTGCCGTCACCGCAGCTGCCGCTAATGCTGCCGTCCTCGCTCGGCCTCTTCCTGCGGGCTGCGGACCTCTGTCGGTGTGCGGGGTGCGCGAGCGGGCGGCCGAGAGGAACGGACGACGACTGGAGCACCGGCGGCGACAACGGCTCGGTCCACGAGGGGCGCTGGGCGAGCCTGGCCCCGTGGCCGTGGGCGGCGACCAGCGATGAGGCGCCCGCGTTCTCCCTGCCCAGGGGGCGCCACCGACACACCAGCACACCGAGCCTGCCCGGGCCAGCCCTGCGCCGAGCGGCGCACGCATCGATCCCCAGCCCAGGACGGGCCTGCCCAGGATCGGCGTTGGCGCATCGTTGGCGTTCTCCGATTGGCACCGTCTCCGTCTGCGCCCGCGCGCGCGCGCGTGCACGAGCAGCCTGCCGCCTGGCCGCTGCGCAGGCGGCACGGAGGCCAGAGAGGAGGACGGCGCACGCGCGGCACGCACGCGGCTCCGCGCGCGGGTTGCCTTCCCACATCGCCAAGACTCCTCAGCTCCCAGGTTCTACGCCTCCACTGGTGAGGGTGTTGATGGTGATGATGGCGATGATGATGCTGATGATGGCGATGACGACGATGACGCTGACGATGAAGAGGACGATGACGACGACGACAACGACGACGATGATGCTAATGGTGGTGGTGGTGATGATGATGATGCTCCGGATGATGATGATGATGATGATCATGACGGTGACGATAACGATCACGACGATGATGATGATGATGATGATGATGATGATGATGATGATGATGATGATGATGATGATGGTGATGATGCTGATCATGATGATGCTGGTGATTATGCTTATTCTGGTGACGTTGATGCTGATGATGATGGTGATGCTGACGGTGGTGATGATGCATCTGAGGATTATGAGGATGATAGCATGATGATGCTCGTGATTATGCTTATGATGATGACGATGTTGCTGATAATGATGGTGATGATGATGGTGGTGACACTGACGATACTGACAATGATGCTGATGGCGATAATTCTGCTGATGATTATGATTATGGTTATGACGATGACGATGTTGGTGACGACGACGATGATGATGCTGATGATATTGATTATGATGACGATGATGACGATGATGATGATGATGGTGCTGGTGGTGGTGGTGGTGGTGAAGATCAAGTCGATGATGATTATGGAACATAATATATGAAAGCGAACGAAAATGGCCATAACAAGGACCTGCTCACCAACGTGGATCTCAAACAGTGCTACATATATTGTACAATTTAGGTGGAGCTATATCGGTGTGCAATATAGGTGGTGCAATCTATGCAGTGCAGTCTAGGTGGTGCAACCTATGCGGTGCGATCTATGCTGTGCATTCTGTGTGGGACGATCGATGTTGTGCAGTCTAGGTGGTGCAATGTCTGCTGGGCAATCTATGCGGAGCAGACTAGGTGATACAGCCTATGTGGTGCAACTGATTTTAACAAACGAGTTGGCACATCCCGCGCTCTTGCAACCATCTCACCCACCCACCCGCAACTTGGTTTGCAAAACCCACGACGACGACGATGACGACGCCGACTACGACGACAACGACGACAACGACGACGACGACGTCAACGACGCCGACGACGACGACGACGACGACGGCGGCGACGACGACGACGCCGACGTCGACGACGACGAAGACGACGACGCCGACGCCGACGACGACGACGACGATAACGGCGACGACGTCGCCAACGAAGACGACGACGAGGGAGGTGGGAGGACGGCGACGGCGACAACGACGACAACGATGACAACGACGAGGAAGGAGGGAGGACGGCGACGACGACAACGACGACGACGACGTCAACGACGCCGACGACGACGACGACGACGACGGCGGCGACGACGACGACGCCGACGTCGACGACGACGAAGACGACGACGCCGACGCCGACGACGACGACGACGATAACGGCGACGACGTCGCCAACGAAGACGACGACGAGGGAGGTGGGAGGACGGCGACGGCGACAACGACGACAACGATGACAACGACGAGGAAGGAGGGAGGACGGCGACGACGACAACGACGAGGACGACAACGACGACGGCGTGATAGGAGGGACGACGACGAGACGCCGACGACGGACGACGACGACGACAACGACGACAACGACGAGGAGGAGGGAGGACAGCGACGACGCGAACGACGACGAAGGAGGAAGGACGGCGACGCCGACGACGACAACGACGAGGGAGGAGGGAAGACGACGACGACGACAACGACGAGGACGACAACGACGACGGCGTGATAGGAGGGACGACGACGAGACGCCGACGACGGACGACGACGACGACGACGAGGGAGGAGGAGGAAGGACGACCACGGCGACAACGACGACGGAAACGACCACGACGCCAGAGAGGACGACGACGACGAACACGAGGAAAGACAGAGGACGACGTAGGCGACGACGACGACGACGCGGAAGGAGGGAGGACGGCGACGACGACGACGACGCAAGAGCGCGCGCGCACGCTTTTGTTGAAATCCGTGTTGCGAAACCTTGTGTTTTTGCAAGTTTTTTTGGAGGCACGATTTTGAAATCCTTCCTAAACAGATGGGTTTTGAAGGATTTCGGCATACGCGCGCGACGACGCGCGCGTCTGCACTTCGTCCCATTTTTCGCAGAGGATTCTCGCGACGGCACACGCGCAAGGGCGTTCGACAGATTTCGACATGCGCGCGCGCGAAGCCCGTTTGGTAGCATTTTGTGAAAATCGTGGCAAACCGATGGTTTTCGTAAGATTTCGCAAGACCTCGCGCGGAAGCTTTTTTAGCAACTCAGTGTTGCGAAACCTTGTGTTTTTTGTATGTTTTTTGGAGACTCGACTGCGACATCTTTCCGAAACCGAAGGTTTTGGAAGGATTTCGGCATGCGCGCGCGGCGACGCGCGCGTGTGCACTTCGTCCCGCTTTTTACAAAGGGATTCGTGACATACGTGTTATGTTAGAACAAAGCATGTCACCGCGTAGTGTTTTTACACGGGAACCTCAGGGGGATCGATACCGCCCCCCTGCGATAGTGTAAAGTCTTCGTTAGGATGGACATGTGGTCAGAATCATATGTGATTTACATACCCAAAAGGGGTAGCGATAACTCTGGGGGGGGGGGGGGGGGGGGGGGGGGGGGGGGGGGGTAGGGTCATGTTATGCTTTTTTAACACATGATTTGACACATCCCACGTTCTTGCAAACATCCCACCCACCCACCCGCAACTTGGTTTAAAAACCTCTGAAGACCGACCACGACGACACCGACGACAACGACTACGACGACACCGACGACGTCTCCGACGACTTCGACGACGGCAACGACGCCGACGCCGACGACGACGAAGACGACGACGACGACGCCAACGAAGACGACGACGAGGGAGGAGGAAGGACGACGACGGCGACAACGAGGACAACGACGACAACGACGAGGGAGGAGGGAGGACGGCGGCGATGCAAACGACGAAGAAGGAGGAAGGACGGCGACGCCGACGACGACAACGACGAGGGAGGAGGGAAGACGACGACGACAACGACGAGGACGACGACGACGACGGCGACGAAAGAGGAGGGACGACGACGAGACGCCGACGACGGACGACGACGACGACGACGAGGGAGGAGGAGGAAGGACGACCACGGCGACAACGACGACGGAAACGACCGCGACGCCAGAGAGGACGACGACGACGAACACGAGGAAACACAAAGGACGACGTAGGCGACGACGACGACGACGCGGGAGGAGGGAGGACGGCGACGACGACGACGACGACGCAAGAGCGCGCGCGCGCACGCTTTTGTTGAAAATCCGTGTTGCGAAACCTTGTGTTTTTGTAGGTTTTTTGGAGACACGATTTTGAAATCCTTCCGAAACCGATGTGTTTTGCAGGTTTTCGGCATACGCGCGCGACGACGCGAGCGTCTGCACTTCGTCCGGTTTTTTGCAGAGGATTCTCGCGACGGCACACGCGCAAGGGCGTTCGACAGATTTCGACATGCGCGCGCGAAAAGCCCCTTTAATAACATGTTGTGAGAATCTTGAAAAACTTATTGGTCATCTTAAGATTTCGCAAGAGCTCGCGCGGAATCTTCTTTAGCAAATCGATGTTGCGAAACCCTGTGTTTTTGTATGTTTCTTTGGAAACTCGATTGCGGAATCCTTCCGGCACCGAAGGTTTTTGAAGGATTTCGGCATGCGCGCGCGACGACGCGCGCGTGTGCACTTCGTCCCATGTTTTGCAAGGGATTCGTGAAACATGTGTTATGCTAGGACAACAAATGTCACCGCATAGTGTTTTTTACCAGGGTCACGCCGAACCTCGTGGCTGCTACCTGGACGTGGATTGGACTACCACCCCAGGCCGCTACTGACCACCCGGTGGCACAACGTTGCACATCGACTTCGTGGTCATCCTCATCTCCTGGGCCTCTCCTTACCAGTCGGTGGCACCTGGTGCACTTCGCCTACCTGGTCTTCCTCTACCTCACGGACGTTGACATGGTCACGGCCGTCCCCACGCAGCACTCGAGGATGGTGTTCTTGGCGCGCCGATGGCGGCAACACCAATTCACTCTCCCTCCGGGACTTCGCCCCCAGCTCCTGTCCATGGCGCACCTTGTCCTGTGCAAGATCTTCGGCGCCGCTTGTGCTCTGCGCCCTCCGGCCGCCTGAGGCCCCGCCCGCCCGCGCCTTGTCTCCCCAATTAGGGCTTCGCGCGCCCCGCCTGGCTCTGAACCGGAAGGGGCCCGCTCCCGACCCGCCGACCAGCAAGTTTTTTGCAAGGGGACCTCAGAGGGGGGGGATACAGGCCCCCCTGGGATAGTGTACATTCAGTTTAAGGATGGACATGTGGTCAGAATCATATTGGATTTACATACCCACAAGGGGTAGCGATAACTCCGAGGGGGGGGGGGGGGGGTAGGTCCTTTTTTTTTTTTTTTTTATATTTATTAAAAAAAAGGAGAATTCATTTATGTTCGCACTGAGTTGTCCAGTCCACTGCTCGCGCAAACATCCCACCCACCCACCCGCATCTTGGTTTGCAAAATCTCTTAGTACCGTGACGGTGGGTACCAGGTGGCACTTGGCAACAACAGCGACGCCGACGACGACAGCGACAACGACGACGACGACGCCGCCGACAAAAATTACGA